CCAAAAAGCTGGCTCTAGGCAAGAAGTGGAACGGCTTGAGACTGATTCTTAGGCCATTGCATCCCTTGGGAGGGAGTTGGTTGCCTCTAGCAGATGCCTTAGATCCTTTGTCACTGAAGGGCCAGCACTCAGCAATGATGAGCTAAAGTTTAGAGTTAGTGCCAACTTGTAGCAAACCCACCAGAAAAGATGGTGAGAAACTCTGAGTAATCAGGGCCAGGCCCTTTTCACAGACCACCCTGTTTCAGCCTGACAATAACCCTGTGAGTGGAGCTCAGTCATTACCCTCTTTTTACAGCTGAGGAAACTGAGGCCCAGAGAGATTAATTGGCCCAAGAAGATCTGCTGGAAGTGGCAGGAGTGGGTCCTAATCCACATGAGCGCTCCTCTCCCCACACCATACCACACTGCCTGCCTGGGTTTTTGTTGCTTTATGAGTAAAGATTATGTCTTGACTTTTAGAATTTTTATTACTAAAGTAACTTTAAAACATTATTCAAAATTTTAAAAGGAGAAGGAAATGGCATTTCTCCCACTGTGCTACATTTGTGCTCCTGTCCGCTGTTTCTCTGTGCGTATCCATAGATGTAGATACAGTATTACCTAATTAATCATACTGTGCCCCTAATTTTGTTCTGATTTCTTCAATGAAGATTATTTTGTGAGCACTTTCTCTTTACTTATTTTTTTAAAGTTTATGAAGTGTTTAGTAGGTGTCAGGCATTCTGCTAGGCTGAGGGAGATACACGAGAGCCAGGCGTGGGTGGAATCTTTTAGTTGTCAGTGTTTCAACGCTGTCACCTAATTGATCATTTTAATGGCTCGTGTGTTACGTCTCCTCAAAGTGTCTGCTTCTCCCCCCTGGGGCTTTCGGCCTCTGCCTCAGCTCTCCCTCCTGGGTGTGGAAGGGAGAGAGTTTTGGAAGGACCAGAGGATTCCCCAGCTGAGGGGACAGGGCACAGCCTGACCTGCCATGCAACACCACAGACGAGAGAGAAAGCAGTGTTCTCCATGTCCAGTAAGACCTATGCCAGCACCTGCAACGGCCAGGCATAGTTCTGGGCACTTGTATATTTCAATCTCTCTCTTTTTTTTTTAATATTTATTTAATTTAATTTATTTATTTAATTTTTTTTTTTTTTGGCTGCGTCGGGTCTTAGTTGGGGCATGCAGGATCTTCGTCCAGGCACGCGGGATCTTTATTGTCGAGGTGCATGGGCTCTTTGTTGCAGTGCTTGGGCTTCTCTCCAGTTGTGGCTTGCATGTTTTCTCTCTCTAGTTGTGGCACGTGGGCTTAGTTGCTGCGTGGCATGTGGGATCTTAGTTCCCCGACCAGGGATCGTACCCGCCTCCCCTGCATTGGAAGATGGATTCTTTACCACTGGACCACCGGGGAAGTCCCTCAATCTCATTTCGTTCTCACACCAACTGTATGAGATATTGTTCTCCCCTTTTTACAGATGAGGGAACTGAGATTGACACATGTTAACTACGTACTTCAGGTCACACAGCTCTAAGTGTTGGAGCTGGGACTTGAACCCTGGTCTCTCTGGCACCAGAGTGGCCTTGTCTACTGTGGCACACTGCTCCAAGATGTCAAGTATTTGTGTCACAGACTGGGTAATGAAGACTGAGAAAGTAGGTGTTTCACACAGTCTGTGTTCCATGGACACTCAGGATCAAACTAGGGCACACCGGTGCCATTTTCACAGCCCTCCCCCGCAAAGAAAGGTGAACTCCCGCCAGACCTTCTTCAAGAAAGTTACAAAGAGGCCAACATTGGGAAGACGGAAGACAATGATTTCTGTCTTTTCAAATGCATTGACTATGTGATCTTCCACACTAGAGTTCTTTTTAAAAAATGATCAGTTTGCAAGGTTTTTCCCCTAGAAGTCTGGGGGCACATCTCTCACCCAGAGCAAGACACAGCAACAGGAGAGGGAGGCTCTGCCTTGCAGCTTCCTTCTTACGTGGCAGTGCAGGGAGGGTTGCTGCTGTGAAGGCTTTAGTTTCAGAACAACTAGACCATCTGTGTGTATGTCTCTATAAAAAACTTCTGAGGCAAAAGGAGCTTTAATCAGAGTCAAAGAAAACACCCCTCCAGGTTTCCTGTTGAAGGAAAACATCTGCTATCTACAGCCCTGAAACTCTGAGTCACTTTTACCTGCTGACACCAAGGAGGTTTGGAAAAATAAATATGTGAGACGTGATCCCAGGAAGGAGGGACATCCCGTGATGAAGTTCCAAAGGGCCAGGGGGAGGGAGCCCCGCCCAGTTAGACAGGGCACCTGCTCCGGCCCTCCCTCCCTTGTGTCTGTGTGTGGATTGATTTGTACATCTTGTTTCATATACACACAGCAGAGTCACAGACTGTTCACATTAGATATCATACTTACTAGATATTATATATAAATACTTCTCACTCAACCCCCTCGTTTCACATGGGAAAAGGGGCCCCAGGGCAGAAATGGCTTCTGCCAGGTTTGAGTCCAAGCCCAGTGCTTGGCCCACTCTGTGCTAAAGGTTCTGTGGGACAACCCAGGGCTTGGCTTCTCCTGCGGAAGTCTTGAGCCTCAGTGGATTTTCCTCTCAAGGAGGTGATGTGAAAGTCTCTGTGGAAATGACTAAAGAGGGGGATGGAGGGGACAGATCATCAACAGAGCCTGGTAGACTGTGCCTTGGGTGTTACTGGTTGCTGAGGCAGCGTGGGATCGCCCACAGAGCTGGGTATGGAAGGGTTCCTTCCATCTGGCAAGATTGTCTTTATCGCAGCTCATAAATAGTCAGCATTCACCCGTGTTGCCATCGGGCACAGGCTGTCTGTGCACATGTGACCAGTGAAGGGGCCCTTCCTAGGGTCTTTGTAGCTTACCCTTGGGCTTCACTGAGCTTCCAGAGAAATACCTGGTGGGCATAACTGTCACCCAGAGGGGGAAAGTGCACCATGTCCATACCGTGAACCCAATCCCATTACCTCCCCAGACCCCCAGATGCTCTCTGAGTAACATCTTCATGTGCCCGTTGCTCTGCAAGATAAATGTTTTTCCAGACCAAGAGGTTCGTCTCTCTTCCAGCTTAAACCCAGTGCTCAGTGATATGGCAAGGGAAGACGAGCCAGCCATTTTGCTTTCCATGACGTTTAGTCTGCAAGAGTTTTCACCTTAGAAAGAGCCAGGCACACAGCCATGGAGGGTCTATTCAACTCCCACAGCAGAGGAGGAAGCTCTGGTTCATTTGCTTTGGATAGAGCCTTAACCTGAAGGCTTACTTAGTGCCAACGGGAGCTTGGCAACTACCTAGCAGAGGGGAAGCAGCAGGCTCAGAGGGGAGGAAGCTGATCCCGCCTGGGAAGACCCCTGCTCTAGAAGCTGCTTCCACCGAATTCATTTTGTGACCTTAGGCAGTTCATTTAACCTTTCTGGGTCCCCAACACTCATCTGGAGGAAGCCGACCCAAGTGATTTCTAAGACTTTCCTAGTTCTTAATTCAGCATCTCCTTAGCCCAGTCCTAGAATAAATGCAACTCACATCAGTAAACACTTTTTAATGGCCTGCGATGCGCCGGCACTGTAAACATCACTAGGGAGATGCACATGAATAAGGACCCTTTCCTCAAAGAGCTTGTATGATGCAATAGAGATCATTACTATCCCTATTGGACAGAGAAGTAAAACGAAGCAGGGACAAGTACCCAGAGTCGCAGAGCTAGTTAAGTGGCAGAGCCTGAATTCAAACCCAGGTGTGTCTGATGCCAAAGCCCAGAGCCCCTTCTGATTCTAAAACCACACTGTCCTGAGGGTGCTCCGGGAGAGCATCTGACCAGGGCCACTGGGCCTGGCAATGCCCTTTCCTCTGCGGCACACTGCCTCCCAGCTTCAAGATTCCTTCTGCCTCTCTTGATGGGGTTACCAGATTTAGCAAAGAAAAATACAGGATGCAAGTTAAATTTAAATTTCGGATAAATAGCTAATCATTTTTTAACGTAAGTATGTTCCATGCAAAAGTTGGGACATATTTATACTAAATATATATATATATATATATATATATATATATATATATATCCTATCTGAAATTCACGTTTAACTGGGTGTCCTGTATTTTGTCTGGCAATACTGCCTTCTGAAAGCTTCTCTTTTTAACATTTATGTGAGGAAGTGCAGGATAGAGGAGGGCTGCCAGGGGAGGGTCCAGGCCAGT